GCACACTTCCAAGGGGGCCGCAAAATGGCTTAAAATTATTTCATATAAGACAATACAAGATTTACAATTGTTGTAAGTTACAACAGCAATTTCTTCTGATTTGACCTGATATTATAGTTCTTATTTTAATTTGTTTACAACTATTATTTTGATTTAAGAACAAGATTTCTCATGATCTCGGAAAACCTCGATATACATGACAGATTTTAAGTGTGATTTCTAGGCTAGGAAAAGTCGTGAGAATTAATAAAATTATATACATTATATACAATTTTTGTGCAATAATAATAATAATAATAAATTGATAATTAAAAGTCAAAGAGTAAATCATGAAAAACATTGCTATTGGAATTATGGAATTTAATTATTTTAATTACTTGTAATTATTTTATTAATTATTTTAAAATATTGCCACTCCTAGTTTCTAAATAAAAGTAAGTAAATAGAACGTTTGAAAATTAGCAGCTTTGTCATTATAGCAAAATTATCATAAATATCTCAGGAGACTTTCAAATATTTAAATATTCAAATTTCTTTGGCAGTGGTGAGCCTTGCTTGGAGTCAAAAAATTTGAGTACCGCTGCTTTAAAGTAAAATCAGCTATTATAATGCAGACCACAGCTGTCTGTTTGTTAAACAAAAACACCAATATATTTAGAAATAAACCATGTGGGGAAAGAATAAAAGATTTATTTTAGTAGGAAGATGAAAAAAAAGAAACAGTAACTTACCAAACCAACATTACTTAGGTCAAAAAGACTGAAGGGTTTGGATGAAACAGCTTCTGTCTGGATGAAGTTTTTCAGGATGTCAGTTGAGGTTGTCTGTATGTAGCCAAAGTCCTGGTGATCAGAGGAAGAATATATAGAGTCGGTGTGCTTTTAAGACTTATTTGTTTGGTGTGACAATAAAAATAATAAGAAAGAACATTTACCACCATCTCATCCAGCAGCTCATAAATTAGAGCGAAATTCATCCGCACTGATTTCTCTGACAAACTGCCACAGTAGTCCTTCGTAAGAGCTGCTAATCTGTGAAACATAAAACTTATGCTTATCATCACGACATCTACACAGGTAATAAACTGCTGTAGGAGTAATTATAAAATACGGCATTACTGATAAAATTAAGATTTGTTAACCTGTTGAGGAACTCAATTATGGTGAAAGGGGATGGGTTTGTTTTGGTGGACGCCACCCAGTAAAGCCCACCCTGCCTTACGTGGATGAAATGAAGATCTTTGTGTGACTGTAACAAGATCAACAAACGTTAACAGTCACAATAATGCCCTGCAAAATTATTAAACAACTAGTCAGACATCAGATCACCCAAACACATAAATGTACCATGACAACCGGAGTTTGATCACCACTAAGCGCTGTGACCATCTCATAGAAGACATTGATGGAGTCTTTACTCGCCTCTCCTCGGACTGACACGCAGAGTTAAGAACAATTAATAAACACAAAGATCATGTTATATGACTCTGAAACGCACTAAAAGCAGTGCTTCATTATAATGTGATCTTTGTACCATCCAATTAGACATAAATAAACACATAACATCTCACTAAAACATCTGTAAGCCAGGTACAGTTAAAGGATACAGTCTTTATAAATGAGATGATCTCCCTTTGATGACAAGATGAAAATTTGACTGATCATTTTCTTCAGCACACACGATTATTTTTCATGCTATTACAAATCAGTCTGCTTCCTTATCCGCCGTCATTTGTATTCTGCAATACGACAGAATAAACTCGTTTAGCTGCTCAAATGTTTTATTACTGCTACCGTCATGACTGTAAACAGCCGGTTTGCTCTTCTTCATGAGCACTCACGTATTAACCGTAATGTTTACTGCCATCTACTGAGCTGGAATATGAACTGCTCCTCGGCAACGGCACCTGGTAAAGCTATTCTCCAAACATTATGCACACTAATACCAAATGAATTTAAAGTAGTGCTGTCAAACGATTAATTGCATCCAAAATTAAAGTTTTTGTTTACATAATGTATGTATGTGTACTGTGTTTATTTATTATGTATATATAAATACACAAACATTCAGTGTATATTTTGAAAATATTTACATGTATACACATTTATATATTTATATTATTATATTTTATATTATATATAAATATATTTAATATATAAACATAACATATTTTCCTTAAATACATACATGCATGTGTTTGTATTTATATATACATAATAAATATACACAGTACACACTCATATATTATGTTAACAAAAACTTTTATTTTGGATGCGATTGATTGCGATTAATCGTTTGACAGCACTAATTTAAAGTATGATTTTAAAACCGTAAACTGGCATTCCCAGAATCCTCTCACATTTCATTAAAATAACTATGTTCCTTCCTAGTTTTGTCTTATCAGTAAATTAGCGTTTATGTTACATTAATGTTTATTGCATTATATTAGTGACTTAACCATGAAGCAGTGGTGGACAGTAACGGAGTAGCTTTACTTCGTTACTGTACTGAAGTACATTTTTCAAGTATCTGTACTTTACCGGAATCGTTTTATTTTTAGTAACTTTTACTTTTACTGATTGAATGCATACACATCAACATCTGTGTCTCTATTTTAGGTAAAAAAAATCATTACGATACATTAAAATAAACATTAAAATACAACGAAACATTAAAATAACACAGACTAAATAAAATAATTAATGCGCGTTCATATTCCCCGCTGCCGTAACGTTAAAAGTTTTATTAAAATGCTACGCATTTAGCCCTATGTGACGTCTGTTTTTATATTGTTTATCAACAGTATACATTTTTATATTGTTTGGATTAACTAGTCGAGTAGACATATATGAATGTTTATTCACAACCATACTGAAAATAAGTAAATATTGTTAGCTGATGCTAACTGTCTAGCTAACAAGCTTGCTTGCTGGTGCTAAGTTGAGGTAATTTTTAGATATAAAGTCCAAATATTTTTATTCAACCACCTAGATAGATTAACGTTACATCTGAGGGAAAAAGAAAGGATGTGATGTTCAGAAGAACATGGTAACTACAGTAATGATCAAAGTGGGAAGTGATGGCCTCTGGGGGCATTTGGCCAGGGGTGTTTTTACACCACAGACAAGGTTTGAAAAGAAAAAAATCATTATGAAAATATAATTATATTTTCCTTAAAATATTCTTCCTGACTTCAGGCCTTATTCTCATGTCATGTATACCTGTGATGTTCTGCAAAACAAGCTTTTAAACACTTTTTTCTTACTGGTGAAAATCAGATAGTCAAATCTGTTTTCTCTCAGGCACTTCGCTGTGTAAGCTTCACAGTGAACATTACTACATCACTCTCGTCAACATAGTCCATATCAACAACAACAATATATCTTGACTCCATATAGTGGTTATTTTGGGAAAATCCCAGGTATTTTGAGCAGTAGGATTATAAAAAATATGTGCTAATATAAATGTAAATTAAGTAGCCTATATAAAATTGCAAAATAAATCTATCTATCAGTACTTTTTTACTTAAGTACATAAAAAATCGAGTACGTTTGTACTTTCACTCGAGTAAAATTGAGAAAGGAGTACTTTTACTTTTACTGGAGTAATATTTTATTATACGTATCTGTACTTTTACTCAAGTACTTGATTTGTGTACTTCGTCCACCACTGCCACGAAGGATGGTGTTTGTATTTGTGTGTATGACAAACCTTCTATTTATATCAGCATGTGGAAAAAGCTATTTGTGACAAATTATGGTTCCTGGTATAGGTATTTCTTTACCATATGTGTTGTTAAAGGTGTTTGTCAGAACTATAAATTTAGAAAACAGATTTTAGTGTTTTGGTATTTAATGTTTTTTATTGTTTTGGTTTGATTTAGTGTTTAGTGTTTTTTAGTGTTTTGGTGTGTGTGTGTGTGTGTGTGAGAGAGAGAGAGAGAGAGAGAGGGAGAGAGAGATTTCACAATGTAGTGTGCAGTTATGACGGGATCATTTTTCATGATTTATTGTGAAGATGAGTGTGTACAGAGGCTGGATGGGACCTGTGCAATAACACCTTAATGTTTAGTCCTTCTGTTATTTACCCTCTGTTTTCCTGCATATCTCAGATTCCAGCTCTGCTCGATCACACCTGTTTAACAAACTGCTCACTAGTTTTCTCCGCCTTAAAGTGTTCTGATCCTTCTGCCTTCCTGCCACCACATGTGCAACATAATATGCAACTAAAAAATTTAACCAAAAAATATAATTCTCATATAGCCCCTTTGCTTAATTTACATATAATTTTTTTTTTTTTTTTTAATCTTTAAATCAAAACAAAAGTTCAGAAGATTTGGTTCAAGAGGTGTGTTTTGTTCTCGAGTCCAAAATTAGAGCTCCAGCTGTTTCTGTTGGAGTAAAGGTTTAATTTTGTGCGGCGCCTCTAAAGACAGGGGTGCTTATGTTATCATCACCTGAACACACACATCTAGCCATTTTTCAAACCAGACAGCGGAGATGTTGAAATTATATAGCGCTGAAGCAATGACTTTTCGACCCTGTACCAAAAACATTCCTGAGGGATCAGATTTACAGCATGTCATATACATAATAGATCCCTTAATGGTGTGATTTATGCCATAAGATCAATCAAATGAAATGTAGTTGTATCTGTTCTGACTGGTTTTCATAATACCTTACTGGTAAAATCTATGTATAGGTCACTGAGACAAAAGAAAAATGCTAGTCATTAGGGAACATTCATAATGCATAAGTGTACATATACATTTTACAAGTTTTTGACCTCTAGTTTCAGATAAGCTTTTATTATTATTTGGCCCACAAAACAGGTGACGTTGTTTTAAGTAATTTTAAAATGTCTGTAAAAATGAATGGGAGGTCAAGGAGGAGGAGGGAGCTTCTTGATCTTCACAACCAATCAAATGTAAGGATGCAATTGCTAGTACTGAGTCCAGTATTTAAATGATTTACCATTTGAAATTCTCCTATCTGAAGAGAGACCAAAGATGAGACAGAAGGTGAGTGATTTTGACTTTCAGTTCTCAAAGTTAATATATCTCAGAATTTTGTAAAACAATTTAAAATATTACATATTTGAGACTTTTTGTTATGTGGCTTTATATATATATATATATATATATATATATATATAGACTTAGGTATATATTACTTATATATAAAGACCTTCATTTACATGCAGTTGTTGCCGTTACTATAGCAGTACCTCATAAGTACTTAATGTTTTTATATTAACATTGTTGACTAATTGTTGACCAACAGATCAGATTATATATATATATATATATATATATATATATATATATATATAGACTTAGGTATATATTACTTATATATAAAGACCTTCATTTACATGCAGTTGTTGCCGTTACTATAGCAGTACCTCATAAGTACTTAATGTTTTTATATTAACATTGTTGACTAATTGTTGACCAACAGATCAGACTAATCAGTTAAATAATGTTGCATGAGCTCTGTGTCAAATATTTCTATGGTAAAATTAGGATGTAGTATGTAGTACATTAGGATGTTAATGTAGTACAAAAACAAATCTGTTTTCAGGTGACATCTGTGCTGTGCATTTATGGGGCTCTGCAGTGCTTGGTAATTCTGCCAGGTATGATTATTTACATTCAAAACTTTTTCTTCATGAAATCAATATTCAGCTAAATATTTCTTCGCTGTTTTCACATTTTGTATTTTTTTTGCAGTGTCGCAGGCCACATCCCTAGCAAAAGTCTCCAAAGACAAAGGTAAGATTGCAATATCTCAAATGCAATAATGCATGACATAACAGTTAGTGCCTTCACTTTTGCCAGTACAACACAGTGTAACGTATGATACTTGTCTTCTAGACTTTTCCATCAAAATCAAAATTTACTTGTGCATTAGTACTAATCTCTCTTGCAGCATCTAATCCAGCTGTCAGCATTGACTCTGAACAGGCCCATGATTTTCTGGCACATGCACGCCCAAGGAGAACGGCTAACCCCAACTGGTATCACAAAAATCCAGACTTTCAGTCCTACTATCGTTATTACAGCAGTATTGGGCACACTGAAGGGGTAAGAAAAACGATGTATGTTTTTTTTCTATCCTATTATTGATAAAAAACTTTTTTCCACCAGTAAATAGCAGTAATGTAGCTGTTCTTGATGAAATGAATGATGAATATTATTAAATAAATTGGTCTAAGTCTAATCAATAAATGCTAAAATATTGTTTTAAGTTGTTTTTTAAGTTATTGAAGGAATAGTTCACCAAAAATTCAAAGTACTGTCATCATTTACTCATCCTCAAAGTAAGACTTTGGTTAAAGGCAGGGTAGGTGATTTGGCTCAAAAACATTTTTTTGTTATGCTGGTTGAAGTCTCTTCACATCCCGATAGCAATCACTATGCTAAGTGGCCTAAATGTATTTATATGTATTAAAAAACAAATAAAATGTTTGTCCAATCACATCTTTCGGTCCTACCTGCCTGTCAACGTACCTGCCTGTCAACGTATATGTATTTGCATACCTCCATGCACCCTGTTTGTGCAGATATGATACGTCATCAGTGCGTTCCATTACGCCATTGCAGACTGAGCGAGAATGGAAGGCATTATTATTGTAATATTATGCACTTTGTATTGTAATGTTTTCTCACCGGTGAATGAGACATGAGGTAATCTGATAGCGTTGCATTCAACCCTCCACCAACGCTCTCTCTCATCGTGTCACTGGTTAGCCTCTGGTCTGCTTTGGAGAGTGATTTGCAGGGAAAGTGCGATCTTATGCTTTCAAAGCTAGCTTGCTATTGTTAGTCTTTCCAAAATCACCTATCCTACCTTTAATCTTCAAAACAAAAATTAAGATTTTTAAATGAAATCTGGGATATTTCTAATCCTCCATTGAAAGTCCAGGTAATCAAAACTTAGAAGATCCAAAGAGGTCAATAAAGACATCTTCAAATAAATCCATATTAATTGAATGGCAAACCAATTTGGATTAAAAGCCAGAATTAAATCTGTTCATCATATAAAGCGATGGTATCGCTTCACAAAACTTGGATTAATCCGGTCAATGCATTTGGATTTGTTTGATAACACTTTTATTGAATCTTTTGAATTTTTTAAAGATTAAGTAAAATCTTATGGGTTTGGAGCAACATGAGGGTGAGTAAATTGACAGAATTTTCATTTTTGGGTGAATTGTCCCTTTAAGTTATTTCCTCAGCCAGCAATATACAGTAAAAATCTAAATAGAAGTGTTGTTTACTAAAATGCACAAATGAGCTGTATTTTCTCTGGTTCAACTATCTCTGTTTCTCTTCTAGCTCTATGAGATAGACAGAATTCGACTGCTTTATCAGCAGATGCGACATCTGGAGCTCACGTATGGCACTGATGCATCCAAATACCAGAATACCCTCGGTCTTCAACTAAAATCGACGCCTCCACCCACAACCCAGCCTCCACTCCCTACTTTACCACCTGTCTCCAAGATGGAAGTTATGTACCTGTGTAATTCAAAAGACCCCCAATGCAAGCCACATATTGTGTACCTGCCCACTGGTGGTGTACCTGTACTTTGCGATCCACGTTACCACCCAAACTGTAAACTCAGTCCTGTCCACGAGTCGCCCTCTCCCCCTGTAGCTGCCTCAGAGCCAGTGACATCTGCCCCTCCACCACCACAAAAATCCACTCCTCCACCACCCCCTCCTCCAGTGATTATAAAAGGAATGGATTACGACTGTGATCCTTACTGGGACCCTGACTGCCTAATCGACAACCCTCCCAGGCCAGTTAAGATGATCGAACCATCACCAGCGCCTCCAGCTGAGAAGGTGAAAAAGGAAACGGGGAACAAAGTAATCCTAAATGGTCTGGTTCCAACCTATGACCCATATGACTTCATTCAAGATTTATATGATCCCTTCCGCCATGCAGCTCCAGCTCCCTGATTAAAATTAAGTCAAATCAGTCCAAAAATATTCATCTTAATAATTGACCCCTACATTCACGTTTTCTTATCTAATTGATGTAAAATGTATAAGATAAAGTACACATTATACATTAAATACATTAAACCATGGCCTTATTTATAATATGTAGCTAGATATGTATTCTTTAAACAAATGTCGAGGCCAGAATAAAGGATATGGACACGTAAAAACTACTTTGGTTTGTTTATCTGATTCATCTTCTTGTTTCATATGTATTTCAGCCCAGATGAAAGTATGTGGGCACACTGAAACCATCAGGTCATAGAAAGAAAACGGTTTCTGAAAAGCTAATTATTTCATCGGTCAATATACATGTATGAAGTGACTAGGAGCATGTATATTGCATTTTCTCGCTAGCTTCATAGGGTAGCGTGGCCGAGCGGTCTAAGGCGCTGGATTTAGGCTCCAGTCTCTCTGGAGGCGTGGGTTCGAATCCCACCGCTGCCATAAATATTTTCAAGTTGTTCCTAAATTAGGAAACCTCATTTTTTTTTTCTTTTTCCGGATGTGTCAGTTAGCACAGACCTTCACTTTGCCGCTCTTTTTAGATTTGTCTTCAGACATATAACTTCCAATTTGTCACTTGCAACTGCTCATCCCTTTCACAAAAAAAGCATTATTGAGCTCTCTTTCTATTTTCTGGTCATAGAAAGAAAACGGTTTCTGAAAAGCTAATATTTTCATCGGTCAATATACATGTAAAAGTATTTTCTCGCTAGCTTCATAGGGTAGCGTGGCCGAGCGGTCTAAGGCGCTGGATTTAGGCTCCAGTCTCTCTGGAGGCGTGGGTTCGAATCCCACCGCTGCCATAAATATTTTCAAGTTGTTCCTAAATTAGGAAACCTCATTTTTTTTTTCTTTTTCCGGATGTGTCAGTTAGCACAGACCTTCACTTTGCCGCTCTTTTTAGATTTGTCTTCAGACATATAACTTCCAATTTGTCACTTGCAACTGCTCATCCCTTTCACAAAAAAAGCATTATTGAGCTCTCTTTCTATTTTCTTATCATTCAAATTTATACAAGAAACACGATTTGCGAATTTCAAAAGGCACCGCTGGGATTCGAACCCAGGATCTCCTGTTTACTAGACAGGCGCTTTAACCAACTAAGCCACGGCGCCGGCGAGCAGTTTCTTAAAAGAAATGCTTATTTTTTTTTAATACACACAATGATCAACTGTTTTACATTTGTCATTTCATCAATGACAAACGCAACTAAGTTATCAGAAGACCATGAGAATTTTTGTGACATATTTTCCATCCTTTGTACATTTTGTGGTGGTAGGACAAAAACCTTGAACGGAACAGATAGCTGGAAGACATTTTCACCCACTGCACTTCCACTGTTACCTGATAATGTTTACATGTAGCGTGACAACTTCCTGAAAAGAAACGACGAGGATGGGATTCGAACCCACGCGTGCAGAGCACAATGGATTAGCAGCCCATTGCCTTAGCCTGCGTCGCTCGAAACACTCAATACATAATTTCATTTCATACAAATTTAAAAAACTAACGAACATCAAAAACAAAACACCGTAACACTGTATGCAATCATATTCTATAATAACACTGAACCGTCCAGTCACTGTACTTCATCACTGGAGTAATTTAAGAATAAACACAGTTGATATAAACAACAAACAAAACAATTTTCTACAATACTATATATGTTTATGAGAGATTCAGACAGGATTCGTTAGGATGTTGCGTGTCCTAAACAAATACGGAAAATAATCACGTATTCATCAAATCCAATCATCATGCTCTGAAACCTTATTTTTAAGGTAACAGGTAAGGATATACCTCACTGACGCAATAACGAGACGGTCTCGGAAAGCTTTTGTAAACCACGCATGTATTTTCAATGACGGTTGTGATTCTAATTAATTCAAAATAATTTAAAGTACAAATTACTAGTACATTTGTACTAATGACTAGTAGTGGCCGAGCGGTCTAAGGCGCTGGATTAAGGCTCCAGTCTCTTCGGGGGCGTGGGTTCGAATCCCACCGCTGCCAAACACTTTTTCCCTTTGTACCGTTGCTTTTGATGTCTTATAGCTCATATGTCATCATACAAGAGTAGAAACGCAATATTTACAACTATCTACTAATTCTAGTGCTAAAAGTATTATGAAATAGTATTGGCGGCACCTATGCTATCAGGATGTATTACAATACTAAAACTGCTCCAGAAATCTAAATGTTTCCATGTTTCCCATTAAGGCAACTAACAAGTGAGCATACACCGCCTGGGAAGCCCACTGATCCCTTCATAGACCGCCATTTTGTTTGTTTCAGCAATACTTATTTATACTTATCAATAAATTAACCACAAGGTGTTGTGCAAATACAATCCATGGACCCAATCCCACATCCTCTTACATATACCTCTTACATAGTGTTCCAAACGGATAGCCTAAATGTGCCCTGTCCCGTCTTGTCATACTGTCAACAAGCAATGCATCCATCCTCCATCTCCAGTCTCTCACGGTCACCGCTTGCAACCTGCAGCTTCCCGGATGACGAGTGACGTCAACGAGCCATTTTTGTTCGCCTGATCCGAGCATCTATTTTTTATGTGTACATAGTGACAGAAGAGAGTAGCGGTAGAGCGCCCTTATTATAAAGAGAATAATAGCGAGGCGCGGCACACCGCTGCAAAGAAATAACTACAAAACACAAGGAATAATACCGCTATACTGGAATAACCTGGAGAGTGTATTATTTATCCCGGAGACGGGGAGAAACGGCTGAAGCAGCGCGTCCATCCACACACTTCTTGTAGACGCACATAAAACCCGGTTCACAATGTGAGTACGATTTAATTTCAATTAAGGGTTGTAATCTGTTTTTGAATTAGGTTTTATTTGCTCGGTTATTATTATGCTGCCACTTGTTAATAGAACGTTGTATAGCGAGGCGCGGCACACCGCTGCAAAGAAATAACTACAAACCCTCACAAAACACAAGGAATAATACCGCTTTACTGGAATAACCTGGAGAGTGTATTATTTATCCCGGAGACGGGGAGAAACGGCTGAAGCAGCGCGTCCATCCACACACTTCTTGTAGACGCACATAAAACCCGGTTCACAATGTGAGTACGATTTAATTTCAATTAAGGGTTGTAATCTGTTTTTGAATTAGGTTTTATTTGCTCGGTTATTATTATGCTGCCACTTGTTAATAGAACGTTGTATATAAATATTAATATGTATGCACAAAATAATCACATTCCATATTATGGTAGGTTTATATTTGATTGTATATAACGTTACGCATAATTCCACATCTATTGCGTATTTCACGAGACCCACTGAATTCTGACGAGCGCACTTGCTACATAATAGTCTATAAATAGGCTCCTAATGGCCAATGTTTTTCCATTTCAGCTGCTGCTGCTGCCATACTAAATTTGCATCTATACAGTAAATTGCTGTCAAGGAACTAATTTATTTTTAATGTGCACGTTTTTCGCGTTATTCTGCTGTCTGCGATAGAATCACGCCTTGACACCGGATTGGACTGGTTTGGCTGGTTTGGTCGCGCGCTTTTAGAATGAAAATAATATATGAATCGACATTATGTATTACAGTTAATATATTTGTCCACCAAAATCTCTGTCTTGATGATTATTTCGATGTCGATGTCAAAAGCCCACTGGGATTTGTCCCAAATAGCCCAAGGCCCACTGTATTTCAAACCTTGCTTGATATCAATTTGAACAAATGACATTTAAGTAACGATAATAAAAATAAATATACCTCACATGCTACACATAAGAAAAAAAAAACCTTAAGCAGGCTGTAAACTAGAGGTAAACTTGTCTGAGCATTGGAAAAAATAGCCTTGCATAACCAGGCCATAAGAGCACTGGACAAATGTTTGGTGTGTCATTCAAAAATGAATTTTGATGAAATTATACACATTTTGCTTTAAATTCGAAATTTAGCGTCGGTGCAGCCATTAGTCTTGATGATAATAAAACTACTACGATTTTAGCTACACCCAAATTTTGTCTTTGGGTAATTTAGCATTGAATCATGTGCTCACAGACTATTACCTCTTAAAGCCTGTTTCTGCTTCTTATGCTTTGATGACAGATAGATATGCAAAAACCTTAAGCAGGCTGTAAACTAGAGGCGTGATATTCCACGCGAGTCGTGGGGGTTGGTGAACGGACGGTCATATGCTCGGGACGATGCAATTTGTTACATTTTCGAATTATATGATTCTCTAACCCATTCAACATGTTTCTATGGAACCAGGCCTTGATATTTATTGATATTTGGTTAGACTGAAGCCAAATGGCTGGCACAAAGGGCGCAGGTGTTCCTCTGCAGGAAAGATGGCCTTGTACTCTAGGATTTTCTAGACACGCTCGTTTAACTGGTTTAAATAATCGAGGCTGTAAATAACTTCAATAATATGCCCATATTAACTCCCCAATTGTATACTTTTTTTTAAAGGCATCACTTGGTCTTGAGTGTGATATTTTGATATGACCATACTGTTTTACGGTTCTACCTTTTGCCTTCAATACATAAAAATAGATAAATTAGTAACAGTTAGTAACATCCGGTCCAGTTATTTGACAAAATGTATGTTGATTGTGAGCAACAATGAGAGAGACTCACACACAGGCTTAATGAAGGCCTTGTGTGGGGGTGGGGATGTTGCCCATCTCATTCATATGACCCTGCCTTTACCAGTCCAGTGTAAGGAACAGTCCAGAAACAATTTAACCTCATATTAGTGTAAAATACAGTAAATGTACGATGCTTTCTCATTCATTTATTTGGAATTTGTCTGAGCATTGGAAAAAATAGCCTTGCATAACCAGGCCATAAGAGCACTGGACAAATGTTTGGTGTGTCATTCAAAAATGAATTTTGATGAAATTATACACATTTTGCTTTAAATTCGAAATTTAGCGTCGGTGCAGCCATTAGTCTTGATGATAATAAAACTACTACGATTTTAGCTACACCCAAATTTTGTCTTTGGGTAATTTAGCATTGAATCATGTGCTCACAGA